TCTTTTGAAAACTTGCTAGGTTCTCTCAGACATGCAGGTTTCCTCACGATGTTTTCCTTCACCGTTAAGACAAGTGGTAATCATGTTGGAAATGATTCGCACATGACAATATTAGAGGTGCGAGACCCGGGATTTGAACTTGCTTCACTCGGTTTCTCAAGCGAGCGCGTTACCACTGGGCTACCATTGCCTTTTTGTTAAGTTAGTATTAAATGTTTATATAAATAAAAATATTTATTGATTTATTCTATATATTTAATACAGCATTGCACGATAAAATTTTATTTAACACTTACTATCTATACTTGCTTGGGTCTAGGCCGCAAGCTTTGTTGGCATTATTCCCGACAAATTATTTTGTTCGGTGCTCTATATCGAAACAAACGTGTATATAATGTATATACATACATATATACTTATTACCTACAGCTTTACTTAAATTTTTCATATAAACTTCGCTACCCTTTGAATTGGAATTTTAAAAACTTCTACAAAATGTATGTAATCTTAAAAGTAGAGTCAAATATTTCGATAGCAGCTAAAAAACAATATTATAATAATAATAACGCGAACAACGAAATAGTTTATTTATTTTGGAATTTTTAATTTCTCATATATTTTAAGACCAAATTCAAAATTGCTACAAAATTGAATTGAAAAGTTTTTCCTTGCAGTAGGTCTATTCTGTCAAAACTTTTAAGCAACTCGACAGCTGAATCCGCCAAGATAATTCACATAATATGTAGTTGTCTGAAGTATAATCGTGGATTCCGCAGTCGTATTACATCTATACATATAATAAAATTGTAACTAAGCCGAATCTGTACAATAAATATTTTTTGGAAAATCTAATTGTAATAGACATTATTATCGATACAGAGGCCGTATCTATAGTTTTTAAAAATTTTGTCTGTCTGTCTGTTACCGCATCACAGAAAAACCACTAGAGGGATTTTGATGAAATTTGGTATGGTGACAGCTGGTTATCCGGGTCAACATATAGGATACTTTTTACTGCGGAAAAATATCTCATCTCTGAGAAATATATACTAAACGTATGTAGGGACGAACCCGAGCGGAGCGAGGGTGAGTCGCTAGTATCGTATAAAGCTATATGTTATCTGTCAGCTCACTCAAAGTAACACGCAGTACTGTTTGATACATGATACATATATTGATATAGTCCGAAGGCAATCATACCTATATAACGTTAATTTATGTATGTACAAGTTAGTGGAACAGAAAGGCTTTTGACCTCTGCCACCTCAAAGGACGACTCAATAACATCACGATTAAAAAGTTGATAAATGGAACTGACTAATGAATTTGATAATAATCACTAAGCTCTTTGATAACGATAGATGTTACATTTTCGTCTGCAACATACCTACTACTGTACTTGTACTTTTATGTATAATATCGTGTCGTAATATGCTTTATAATTTAAATTATACCAAACCTATTACGAAACTCATAATTAAAATGAAATATAACGTAAGTAAAAATGAACTCGACATATACTATTCGGCGTGTTTAATTAGCGCACGCACGACGTATTCGATATGAAATAATAAGTTTCAACTCGAGTAACTCGTTTATATAAAGGTAAATATGGCGAGATAAGTATAGAACATCAGACGAAGGCGTCCTGCGTCTGTCTGGAGTACAGAATTGTAGCACGGTGGGGTGTTTGTAGCAAAACAAACAAATTAATTGATAAGCTAGAATGGCGACTCCATTTATCGCGTCCAGGAAGTGTAGTTATACCGGTATCTAAAAATCGTTTATAATTAAGCTGTAAACAAACTTGAGATAATTTAGCAATGTAAAAAAAAACCCGCGCGTCGGCCTCCGTCGTCGTTTGGAAGTGGGTCGAGACGGCAACGCCGCTAGCGGTACCGGCGCGGGGCGGCAACGTCGCGACAACGTGGCGCGTTGCCACACTTCCCCACCTACATCAATACCGCGTGCTCCGACCGAGTGCCGACTGTAGCCGACTGGAGCCGACGCGCTCGGAATCGGAATTTGGAACTCGTACACAATATTGTTACGATTCATTTCGTTATCTGTTTTTAAGAGTTATTTTTAAATGAATTTTCAATGTCGGCGTTTTAATTTGCAAATTGCAGTGGACTTCCACTTTAGCCCTTATTCCACAGATGATCGATTTTGAACATTTTGTGCCAAAAAGCGCCTTTAACTTTTATTATTATGCCGCACACGGACCCCGCGAATGATACAATAAAAAATATCAGTGCGTGTATTAGATTAATCGAGTAATATTATGGCTATGGCGATGTTGTCTAGACGCAAATAACTTTTTTCTACGTTAGAATTAGATTTGAACACGCCCACGCAACAAATCCAAATGTAAGCCGCTCACAAAAAACTGGTTTAATCTGTCTCTTTTGTGATTGTCTAATATTAATGATGTTGTTCCCGCTGATGCTTCGAATTTACCTGTCATATTTGATAAATATCGCACACAATGGGCGGAGACACTTGGCATTACATAATATACAAGGTCTAACGAAGTTGACGCCTACAAACCTATTGAATGAGTACAGTTCAAAGTAGAAGCAAGTGGCAATTCACGCAATTGTTAAATTCTAAAAGCCATAGAATAGAGTATTTAACAATAGATACATATCGAAATAATATATTATAGTTACAAAAGTTTCATAATCATAGAAACATTTGGAAATTTTGTCGCGTCATTCTGTCAATATACTCGTACATACCTCGTTCAAGTTAGAAATAAGAAACCTAACTAAGCACATCCCTAGTTGGTTTTCAATTACAAATCAATAGTATATATCTGACATAAATATAAAAAAATATTGATATTATCTATACATATAATAAAACAGTAATTTCGCAAAATAGATGTACGCGGTTCACGCAAAAAGTAGTGAACCGATTTTAACTTAACTTTGTGTAGTAATACTTAAAAGGATATCTATTACTATAGGAAAATCTTTCATCCCCACGGAAAAACAAGATAACTGATTCTATCGAGTCTTAGAAATTTATATGGCTAACGCTGGCTAAACCTTAACAGATACATCAAAACAATGTACTAGAAAATTGTAGCTTTTATAAGGCCTACAGAAAAATCTTTCATGAAGACGTCTTTCTCCTAAGATACACTCGCCAATCGCAATAACTATTTTAAACTAAGCTAGGGACATACCCAAGCGAAACGAGTGTACCTAGTTAATAGTTATTATATAATATAATATATTTGACGATACGTTTGGCTCAGTTTTGTAGTGACCCTACTTTCTGTGCCAGCGGTCGCGGGTTCGAGCCCGCTGGAGGCATTTATTTGTATGATGAGCACGAATGTTTGTACTCCAGTCATGGGTCATATTTATAATATATATGTATTTAAAGTTATATATGTGTAGAGTATCAACTATCTGGTATCCATAACACAAGCCTCGTAGCTTACCATGGAACTAGATGGTGCTGTGTGTTAATATCCCAACGTATTTATTTATAATATAAAGAAATTTTGTTAATAACATAAAAGTATTACAAAATAGAAATAGAACCTTGTTATGTGCAAAACAGCCACGAGTTGGCAACGCCGCATTTTATTGAATAAAAAAAATATTTCAGCAACGCCACCGTGGCACTTCCATATTTTTAAATTTTAAATGACGTTTGAATAATATACTGGATGCATTAAATTTATCTGTGGATTCTTTATTTTAAAAAGTTTTGCAGCATTGCGTCAAAAATAAAAAAGGCGGGCTTAGAAATGTCGGTTCCGTGTGAAAATACCTACATGCGAGGCATTACACGCTAGTATTTCATCACACTCAGGTATGGCCTTTATGATGTACAATAGACTAGAATATTTAAGTTATAAATATTATTGCGCATCAAATGTACATATATGCATCTAATAAATAAATGTAAATAATCTTTGGTATACATAAATATTAAACTAATAACATCCGTAAGGTATATAGAAATCATCGCATGCATTACAACTGCGGCAACACAGCGGAGAATAATAAAATTAATATTAAATAATACTCTGAACATATTCGATTGGTATATAAGAATGGTTTTGAAGGTAAAATATTTTAAGAAACAATCTAAACATATAAAATATATAAACCTAAAATTAAGAAATCTTTCTAAAATTCATAACTAAACTTATAGAAGACAAATATTTACAGGAATTACTTTTTGGCTATACCCAAAAAAAATTCTAAGGTATTTCAAGTCCCTAGGTCACGCGGTCTAAGCTAGGTCTAGTTAGCATAATATAAAAATTTATTATTAAAAAATATAGGGCACATGTGAGTTGTAATGGCTAAAACGTAAACTTAGCTAAATGGTAGTTGATTTCCATTTAAAACGAAACATAAATAATGCAGTAATTACCCGCCTCACCTACGTCCCGGCCTGCGTGGGCTGAGCATTAATACTTAGCCTCCAGTTAAGTGCTGCTTAGTTTCATTTAGAGTCTAAAAATATCTGTAGGATGTCTAAAATTTATACTTTGGAAGTCCTATAGATATTTTTATCTTGATACAAAAAAAAATAATCTAAACGTGTTACATTGTCAGATTGATACCACAGTATATAAACTAATTCTACAGTATAGATTAAAAATAAATAACATTTCCATAAACAACATTTTATATTCTGTGGAAAATGTAAAATAAGTCCATAAGCAAATAACATCTAAAATTCTATGATAGGTACAATAATAATAAAATATTTCATCACTACAAACATATTATCATTACTTAAATTAAGTTTGTTGGTGCTAATCTCAAAAACTTCTGTACGGATTTTCATACGGTTTTCATCAATAGAAAGAGGCATTATCTAGGAAGGTCATAGGCTATAAATTATAAAAATTGGTGAATTAAGTCAGGAAAAATTAAAGCGAAGGGCACGTAGGGTCGCACTCGAGGGAAGAAAGGGTGGGGCACTAGTATAACAGTGTAAAGCGCGTGCCCCAACGTACCGCGGACATGCGACTGGCGAGTCGCAGGGGGCGGGCCGACAGTCGCACCCCGCGCCCGCTGCGTCGCGCCGCGGCAGTCGCAAGCCACGACTCGGACAGAGCGTGCGTCACTTTTGTCGCAATATTTACGTGAACATTTTATAGTACATCGTTATTATATACAAGGTAAGTGATACAATATATGAAACAGGTTTTAGTACAAAAAAAACATTTAATTCAATTCTTTAGTTTCGTGGTTTCTAGGAAAAAAAATATTTAAAGGTCTTTGGATATGTTTTGACATTTCTTATTTTTGATGACAGTTTAGTAATAGTTCTACCGATATTGCTAGTAGATCAATGATAGGTTTGTGCACATATAGTAGGAAAATATATTCAGATTTTACAATAATTTTAACGCTGCGTTCGACGTCCATCTTCAAAAAGTCTAACTAACGAGAACTAACTACCGAGGCTTGTGAGTTTTACCGGTATAAATTAGCCGATCCACGAGATTAAAAAACCGAAAAAAAATTAAAACAACGTAATTTTCTTCTAGTCTACGAGGAACCTTCTCGAATCCTTGACATTGCTATTAAAAACAAACAACATAGCCATATAAATCATAATTTCTTATCTTTTCCTAGCACAGAAGTGATGATACGAAAAACATTGTACCAATTGAACCCGGTGTGTCTAATCGAAGAGATCAAAAAGCGTCCGGGGCTGTACCGAACAGAGCAACCGGCCGACAGAGAGGAGAAACTACAGCTTTGGAAGGAAGTGGGAGCGGCTATATACAGCGACTGGGATACCTTTAATAAGGCTACAGCATACGATAGAGGTATAACTACTAAACAACATATCTAGTAGTTAAATCTTTACATAGTAAAAAATGAAGTCGCTTTCGATGTCTCTTTGTTTAGATCTTTTAAACTACTAAACGGATTTTAATGCAGTTTTCAGCAATAGATAGAGTGATTCAAGAGGAAGGTTTATATGTATAATACATGTATATTATAGTACAGAAAAGCCGAGAAATTTAAAGATTTGTATTTCATACTGTTAAAACGTACCTATATAAAATCTAGTTAACTACTTAAAAAAAAATTACACTACAACTTTTACCTACTTTACCAACTTTCCAAATCACGCTGATAAGAAAAGAATCAAGTTAAAAAGGTGCATAAGAAATACTTTCTCTCGCATACCGATGCGATAGTTTAATTTGCATCTGTTCCTTTGAATAATTTATGATCATTGCAAGTTTTATTTTCGACATAGATGCATTCTGGGGACATGTTTTGTATGTTATTATATAAATTCAACGAAATTGTGACCTGTGAAATATAAGATATTTTCAATTTTTTATTATATTGGCGATAGCATTAAACTACTAATATACCTACATGCAAAAGTTAATATATATGTTAATGTGGAGATATGTTTGTTGCTCCTTCACGCTTGAGGCGGCTGGACGGATTTGAATGAAAATTACACTGACATACTACGACCTTGGATTAACATATAAGCTACTGTAGGCACCTAGCGATATTAAAATTGTATTATATTCTAAGTCGTGTGTTCGATCAGTGTTACAATTGCAAAGGAAGTGGCGGTCTCTACGCGACGCGTACAACAGGGAGCTGCGCGCGCGCCGAGCGACGCCGCGGGGCAACCGACGTGTGTATATATACTTCAAACGGATGAGCTTTTTGGGCGGTTTCGAGGGCAGTGTCAGTGATGAGTGAGTTTATATGTGGTACTTAGTAAAGCTAATTTTGTATTAGGAATTATATACGCTAATATCGCACTATAAAGTGAGTGTTTGTTACTTCTTTCCATACAATGGCTTCTAGATAAGCAAACTTTCTTATCGCAAATGGGAGACGTAACCAAAAACTAGTGCGAAATAAATATATTATACGTTTGTATGGACATTGTTAAATCATTTAATTAATTTAACAGCGTGAAAGCATTGATATATGTATGTATGTATGTATATAATAACAACATGAAGCGTAATACGGAGACTATCCCGAGGGAGACAATCGTCCAATCAAGGGACAAGTGCGGAAACCTGTCCGTAACATCCTCAAGGGTTGGGAAGGAAGGGTCTAAAAGGGTACGAGATTAAACTTAGGGGTAGTAGGGACTACGCGTGAATACTTATACATATGTACTATATATATAGACATTAACATATAACCTATATTAGGACGAAATTTCGTAAGTATGTATGTACGTAGTTTAATTAATGCTTTTGGTAAAATAAATAAATATGTTGGGATATTAACACACAGCACCATCTAGTTCCATGGTAAGCTACGAGGCTTGTGTTATGGATACCAGATAGTTGATAAACTACACATAAGTTATATTTTTGGAGGCAGCCAGGGGATGCAAAGAAATGCAAATTAACTTAAAACTAATTTAATAACTAAAATTTCTTACTACTAAAGTGACTGTCGATCGATGTTAGATCAAATCAGTAAAGATGCAGCCAAGTAATGCCTTTTATACTACATTGAAATGATGAATTGATGAAATGTAGGTGGCTGCTGCGCTTGCACTTTCGCCTGACCTTGTCTTGTCGTCGCCGCGCGAGGTTTGTAGAGCAAAGCTGATGCGACGATTCGAGTTCCGTAACACATATATAAACTTTAAATACATACATTTTATAAACAAAAACACCCATGACTGGAGTACAAACATTCGTGCTCATCACACAAATGAATGCCTCCAGCGGGACTCGAACCCGCGACCGCTGGCACAGCAAGTAGGGTGGTCACTACAAACTGAGCCAAACGTGTCGTCAAAACGAAAATTAAGAATTTATAATAAAAAAACATACTTTATGATGTCTCAAACATCTTGAGTGTTTTATAAACTTTCTCAGTTATGAAATATGAACATAAAACATACTGAATTAAATTATTAAAGCAATCATATCTTATCTCAATCTACGCTTCTGATAATGGAAACACAGTTTTATATAGAGTGTGCTTTTTCTGAAGCTTGTTGGGACGAGGTGAGTGGAACGAGAACGCATAGTTCCGTGAATTGTTTAAACGAAGACAGGTGTATGAGAAGCCATCTTGTTTGGTTGGAAATACTAATTTTATGGCATCGTTCAGATATTTTCATATCAACTTTATAGAGGCAGATAATAAAAATTCTCTACGCAATAACACGGTCATAAACTTAATTAATTTAATATCATAATATTGTTGGTTGCTTTTACGAAGAAAGTAAATATTTCACATTTGTGTAGATACTTTTTGTATTTATAATACTAGCGACTCACCCTCGCTTCGCTCGAGTTCGTCCCTAGCTTGCTTCCCCATACAGACTTTCATCCTTTACCTTATCACCCTTAAGGGATGATTTCCGGGATATAAAGTATAGATATAAAGTATCCTATTACCTTCCCAGGGTCTCCAACTATATTCTTAGCAAATTTCATCTAAATCGGTTCAGTAGATCCGGAGGTTACCGCCTACAACGTAACTCACAAACTTTACGTCTTTATAATATGTATTAGTATAGGTTATATATAGACAGAGCTATATTTCGCAAATTTTATTAACAACTAACTAACAATAGACTGTTTTACTACAGGTCAGCCTATCTGTGTACTAAAATTCATTAAAATCTGTTCAGTCGTTTCATAATAAAGAAGTAACAAACATACACACTTATAAATTTTCATATTTATAATAATAGTGTATTTAGGTATATTTATATACTCGTTAACACAAGTTTAATTAATTTCCAATTACCATTACTCAAGTAATTTAGACAGAAAGTATAATTATTTTATTTCCAATTATCATGTAACATTAATTAATATAACAGTTATAATAGATTTTAAATGACCAATAAACTTCTCTATTTCTCTTTGCTCTCACTAACTAAATGTCAGCCAATAAAATCTTTTACACATGTCTAAAACTAAATTTCTTTTCAAGTGATAATCAGGACGGAAATGAAATAATATACACCAATCAACCAGAGGATCCTCTGTTCAGCACCACCACGCACAAACCAAAGAAGAAAAGGCGGAAGAAGTCCAGCTCTGAGAGTGACAATCCTCCTGAAGAGTTGGAGATGCCGGTCTTCCCAGTAGACGTGTCTGATGATAGTGATAGTGACAAGCTGTTCCTGCTATCATTTCTACCAGAAATGAAGCAATTACCATCAAATATTAAGATGTGGGCGAGAGCGCAAATTGCCAACGTGATGCAGGAGGCTGTCAGCTCTCACTACAATAACTCTGTACCCAACGATAGGAACAGTATGGTGAAATACAGACGGGATAGTTCTGAATGACCTATGCATTTCAGGTGCAAAGTCATCAAAGTACTGATTTTTCAATCATCTAATACAATATTTATTAGTAGCATTGCCCGCGGCTCCGCCCGCGTTCAGATGACTAAAAACCAAATTCTTAGGTTTTACATATTAGTATATTAGTATACTATTGCATTACATTGCAGTTTTTGTATTTTTTCTCAGAAATAAGACATTTTCCCGCGGTAAAAAGTATCCTATATGTTGACCCGAACCAGCTATCATCATACCAAATTTCATTAAAATCCCTCCAGTGATCCCTCTGTATCGATAGCAATGTCTATTTCAATAAGATTTTCCAAAAAATATTTTAATGTACAGATTCGGCTTAGTTACAATTTTATTATATGTATAGATATAAAATGCCTCACCATGATAATCTCAGAAACGAATATACAGGAATTTCTTATGGTTTTATCAATAAAAGAGGGGTTATGTATGAAGGTTATAACTTATAAACTATAATTTATGAGCGCTGTGCAAAATAAGCTACTGGTATGAAAATATCTTTGTATTAAGTTGAAAGAAAAAGAATTCTTTCCGAGAACTTCCATACTATTATAGGGATCTAGAGACACTAAGTGGGTAACTAAATTCCCAATAAATTATAGTTTAGCTGAATATAAAAGTGACGTTACTAGACTATGTTATTCATAGAAATGTAATTTTGAATTTGTTAGAGTTATGTTTATGAATGTGTGTAATGAAAAGACAGTGTTAGCCCAGTGGTAACGCGCTCGCTTGGGAAACTGAGTGAAGCGGTTCAAATCCCGGGTCTCGCACCTCTGATATTTTTATATGCGAATCATTTCCAACATGATTACCACTTGTCTTACGGTGAAGGAAAACAACGTGAGGAAACCTGCATGTCTGAGAGAACCTAGCAAGTTTTCAAAGACATGCTCAGTCCGCCCGCACTTGGCCAGCGTGGTGTACTATGGCCTGATCTCCCTCGTACTGAAGGGAGGCCCACCCCCAGCAGTGGGACGTTAAAAAATAGCTGAATTCATTCTGATGATTGAGAGTTTGTAAGTCTTGATGATGGAACCTCACATTTATTATGTTCCAGATTGAAAGGGATGGCCACAGTTGTTTTGTGTTCAATAGTACAATAGGGTTTTAGTAAAAGCAAAAGTCTGAGATAAATCTTGATGGTTGTTGTGCTTAATAGGTTATAGATAGTCGTCTTAGTGCTTATTTGTTTAAAGCACTAATGCCCGATTTTACTAACATCCCATAAGCTACCACCTACGTATGGGATCACTAGCTTACAAGTGCCCCTAAACTAGCCCCTAAATAAAATTTCGTTTTACCATCGTCAGAGGGCGTATTTCTAGTACCTATATTTAGGTGGCATTTTAACAATTAGGTGACCCCTAACTGTTGGTGAAACAGAAACTTTCCTCTAACAGCTCCCTAACCATGCTTAGGGGATCCCTTAAATTTTGGTGACGTTGGTGAAATCGGCCATAATGCATGTGCATTTAATACCAATAAAATTGACATATAAAAGTCAATAATTCTATATTAAAAACTGTCGGTAAATTGGTAGTTTGGAAAAATAAGCATTAGAGACGATGATTTATGAAAATCACTAACTAGTAAATATTATTAGATTTGATTGAATTTGAAAGTCCAGTATGTTTTAGTCTAAGTAATATTGGGTAGGTGATTTATTCCGTTAAAGAAATAAAGAGTTGGGTGGAATTGACAGACATGTTAAAATGCTGTTTTAAAGTATGTAAGTTTTTTTTTTTAAATTGACAAGATTTTGTGCAATAAAATTGCAAATTATGCTTGTATATTAAATTTTTAGATATTAGTTTAAATAAATAAGCTTACTATTAAGTAGTATCTGCTAGCTTTTGAATTAATAGTAAGTAAGATTTTTCCGTTAATATAATTAAATGCCTTAATAAAAACCTTAAAAATTTTCGATTTTCTTATTCGATATAAACGAATTATAGAATATAAGTGCTAATTGTGGTGTATTTTAGTGCATAGAGAAAAATCATGGCTTTTTCTAACCGTTATTTGATAGTGAGAAATAAAATTATATTTAACTATAATAAATCTTGAAAAATTTACGGTCACTGACAATATTAATATGATGTAAAACGGGCATTTACCATGTCTATCACTTACTTTTGAGAGTTCCGTTATTTTGGCGCTGTTATGGACGCCATGATCACGGGTGTGCTTGAGTATAACTAAGTATACCCGTGACCATAGCGCTTGTAGCAGAAACTCTCAACAGTAAGTGCTTAAACATGGTAAATATATTATTTTGTATCATAAAAATATATTTAATTAGTTATAAAACTTACTTGATTATATGATAGATGTTCATTCTACCCTCAATTTGATGTTATTTGTTATGGCATTCTTTTTTTTTTAAAGTTATGCAATTAAAGGTTTGTACTTGTACATAAGAACGTACATAATTCGTTGGCTCACTATTACAAGGTTTTATGTTACAATTTTAGTACTTATTTAGTTATTAATGCTACAAGGTTCTATGTGTCATTAGCTACAGTTTTGCAAAAACCAACCACTAGATAGCGGCACTATAACTACAAAATATTCAATTTTACATAGTTCTATGTTGTTTTTTTACGATAACAAAATAACGAAGTTCTATGTAAAAATTACTAAACTTCATTAAAATTAACATAGAACCTTGTAATAGTAAGCCAACAATATGTCCAGTGTGCGATAAATAATAGTTAAGTTTAAATAATACGACTCAAAGTTTTGTGTCAATCAGTTTTTAGATCTAAATCAAATGTAAAGTGTAAAGACCAATTTTTGATTTTTTTAACTATAATCTCCTTTTAACTCATAAGATTGAAAAATTATTTCATGTGACACTTTCATTTTGGGGCCATGATCATAATCATGGCCCTATTGGTTGTGAAATCAATAATGTCGAAACTGTAGACAGAAGTTAGTTTATATGTCAAATAAATATAAAAAGTGATTAGTACAATGGTAATACAATGATATTTTAAATTCATATAATAAGCACTTCACATTTTTTCATAAGAGCGATTTTTACAGCAAGCTTTTTAAAATATAACGATAACTTGTTGAAATAGTTGTAATTTAATTAGTAGGTACCTACTTTATTAATACTTGGACTATGAATAAACATATTTTGTACTTACATCGCGTTTTTCATTTCTCTTTTTATGTGTTGTACTAGCATTGCCCGCGGCTCCGCCCGCGTTCATATGACCAAAAACCAAATTCTTAGGTTTTACATATTAGTATACTCTTACATTGCGTTTTTGCATTTTCTATCAGAAATGAGATATTTTCCCGCGCTAAAAAGTATCCTATACCTGGATAACCAGCTATCATCATACCAAATTTCATCAATATCCCTCCAGTGGTTTTTCTGTGACGCGGTAACAGACAGACAGACAAAAATTCTAAAAACTATAGATTCGGTGTCTGTATCGATAATAATGTTTATTTCAATAAGATTTTCCAAAAAATATTTGATGTAAAGATTCGGTTTAGTTACAATTTTATTATATGTATAGATATTGGTATAGAATATGTACAAATGAATTAAGTTTAAATTTAATTTAATTTTTTTTTTTTAAATAAAAGGATCGGTAACTTAAGTGTTTATGATCGTGATATCTTGATAAATAATATAATAATATATAGATAATAATATTACGTAATGATATATGTACGTAACTATTGTTATATAGTTTCGTTTCATTAGATAGGCTTTAGCTATTGATGGAATATTTTATAGTAAAATATAAAATCTTATAAACATAAAATTCGTAATAATGATCAGTAAAATATAAATTAAATTATCTTTCTTTAACTTAATTTAAAAGCAAATTAAGAATTAATATGATGAGTATCAACAAATATTAATTTTATTTTTATAAATCATACAAATCGAACCGTAACAATAATCTTTTTAGTAGTTTTACTCTGAAACTATACAGTGAGTCACCAAAAGCGATTTGGTCGCCATAATTTCATCTTCAACTTGGCCACTGCCACGTTTCAATTTATAATTTAGAATTTCTTCCTTAAATTCTATATATACTATCAAGCTTTATATATCTAATATCTATACAATATATACACCCTTTACCTCTTGAAGAAATAATATTATACCTGAAACAAAAATAATATTTTTTTAATATTATATCAAACCACACAACGTTTTGGATGATAACAGCAGCAAATGGACGCAAAAGCTGTCGTATATCATCAAAGCGGGAAGTTCTGGTTCGGAACATAATAGTCGTGGGGAGAAAACTTCTGTGCAAATTTCAATTTTTGCAAATACCAAAGTTGGGTTAACTTGCGCTATAATTTCGAAGTTCCGCGGGCCGAAGCCAAACGTGGTTATGCATTTTCATAAATCTGTGTAAACTTTGAGGTTTCGACATCCTGCATGCAGATGCCATGCGTATCTTGCAGGCAGAACAGAATTTGGAAACCTCAAAGCCATTAGAAATGATTATTATATTATAATATGACTAGCATTGCCCGCGGCTTCGCCCGCGTTTAGATGACCAAAAACCAAATTCTTAGGTTTTTGTATTTTTTCTCACAAACGAGATATTTTGCGGCGGTAGAAAGTATCCTATATGTTGACCCGGATAACCAACTATCACCATACCAAATTTAATCAAAATCCCTCCAGTGGTTTTTCTGTGACGTGGTAACAGACAGACAGACAGACAAAATTTTTAAAAACTATAGATTCGGCCTCTGTATCGATAATAACATTTATTTCAATAAGATTTTCCATAAAATAATTAATGTACAGATTCGGCTAAGTTACAATTTTATTCTATGTATAGATAAACTAGATCTCATTCAAAATTAATGAAGGTTAATATACAAGCTTTCTATTAATAAAATATTTGCTTTGATTATTTATAAATAAATATTTATAACAGTTGATGGCGCAATAAAATTATAATTTAATACTTTCGATAAAATTATTTTTAGTATGACATAAATTTGAACAATAAAAACCAGGTAAATCTTACCATAAATTTTTATTTTAGTTAATAAATAATCTAGAAAAATGTTAAAGAGATAGAGTTACATCTTCTTTATGAAAAACTCGCTTTACTCGGGTTCGACAAATCATAAAATCTAAAATCACATCGTACATTGAAAAAAATTGAGTAAAAAAACAACTACTTGAATAACTAAGTACCTAGTGCACCTATGTATATACCTATCTACCTGCATACATCCTATATCTATACTATATATATATAATTAAATTGTAACCGAGCCGAATCTGTACATTAAATATTTTTTTGGAAAATCTTATTGAAATAAACATTATCGATACAAAGGTCAAATCTATAGTTTTTGAATTTTTGTCTGTCTGTTACTGCATCACAGAAAAACCAATGGAGGGATTTTAATGAAATTTGACATGGTAATAGCTGGTTATCCAGGTCAACATAAAGGATACTTTTTACCGCGGGAAAATGTATCATTTCTGAGACAAAATACAACAACTGCAATGTAAGAGTATACTAATATGTAAAACCTAAGAATTTAGTTTTTAGTCACCTGAACGCGGGCGGAGCCGCGGGCGATGCTAGTTTTATTATATATTTAACTTTATATGGATTACAATATAAAATAAATATATGGAAGAAAGCTGTCGCGTAGGATGTGTCAAATAAACATAAATAAACGAATAAATTTTTATCTAAATAAATCTAAATGGAAAATCTCACAGCGCCGTCTGTGAATACGCAGTTACATACATACATACATGTTTTAACAAAGTGTTGATACTATGTCTATCATCATTAAATGCGTTAAATTTATTGAAGAACCATTTAATCTATACTAATATTATAAATGTGAAAGTATGTATGTATGGATTTGTTACTCTTTCTAACGGCTGAACGGATCTGAATGAAATTTGGCACAGAGATAGATTATAGTCTGGAATAGCACATAGGCTACTGTTAGGCCTTAGAGACGTGCCTAATCGAAGCAAATGTCAGCTTGCTGGTTAAAAATAATGTTATGTAAAATGTACATAATTTTATCATTTAAACACTATTGCATTGCTATATCAAAAACTTCAATCTTATAATTTGCCAACAGATTACAAAATACCGATAGATATCATACTAATGATTATTTACTAAGATTCCGAGCTATTGTTGTAAAAACAATAGAACTTCTCAGCCAGAAGGAACTTTGCACTAGCGAGCGTTTAAATGATCGTCCTTGAAAGCTTGACTCGATCGATGTTGTCGGTAATTTTTATTGACTAAATCGATACTTAATATTATAAAGACGTAAAATTTGTCAGTTTGTGACGTTGTAGGGGGTAATCTCTGGGTCTACTGAACCGATTTAGATGAAATTTTGGTAAGAAGATAGTTTGAGACCCTGGGAAGGACATAGGATACTTTTTAATTTTTATCCCATAAATCAACCCTTAAGGGGGTGAAAATGGGGATAAGAGATTTTATGGGGAATCTACCTAGGGGCGAACCCGAGCGAAGCGAGGATGAGTCGCTAGTTTAATATAAATACTTATAATTCTAAATGTCTTCAAACTGTTTTGGTTGTGGTTTATTTACATTTAAAATATTATATTATTACGACATTGGGATTTCTTTAAATAGTTGCCATTGGGTTAAAAATATTATTATACCAGAGGATCCAAAACGCAGACGTTGTGCTGCCACAGATCTGGTTTGATCAGAAAATTAAAAGAATATTTGCTTGATATTGATAGCAGCTAAGCAGTAAGAACCATTCATGTGACGACATACGTAAAAAAAAACCATCAATATCCATTGACCAGCCGTTTAGGAGGAAAAAAATTACAAACAAACACGCACTAGAATTTTATATAAATATACGTATAGTATTATGTTACCTGTGATAGATACTATTTCCTGACTATGAAAACTTTACCGGTAAACTTTTCCCATACAAAGTTTACCACTTTAGAAGTTCAATATGGAAAAAATCCTTGTTTTACCTGTTATCTACATATTACATAGATATGTCCAACGTTCATAAACAAATTGATAAGGAAAATAATACGTGCAGATTCTCGCGAAATATTTACAATGAATCCTCTATAATTAAGATAGATAAGAAGTTTAAACATACTTATGCCCGATTTCACCAACGTCACCTAAGTTTAAGGGGTCCCTTAAGCATGGTTAGGGGGCTGTTAGGGGACAGTTTCTGTTTCACTGACAGTTAGGGGTCTCCTAAATATTAAAAGGCCCCCTAAATTTAGGTGCTCGAAATATGAGCTAAAAGACGATCGTAAAACGAAATTTAATTTAGGGGAACTTTTAAGCTAGGGATCCCATACGTAGGTGGTAGCTTATGGGTTGTTGGTGAAATCGGGCATTACAATCTTATTATATTTATATTAATTAATTAAAAATAATAATAATTGTTATTATAAGCTAACATGGTTTCAACAACTTTAAAAATACGATATCAAACGGAAAATGCAGAATACAGCGGTGGAGCGGTTCGAGCACTGCGGTTAGCGGCGTTGCCGCTTCGCATTGCAGCGATTCGGTCGCACCGCGATAGCGTTTCACTTAGCTTTTATTACAAGGGAATACGCGATAAAATCGCAGTGATGTCGTTATACATCAACGGCAACGTCGCTGCGACTGCGTCACTCCGCGCGGATTGCTCGTTTCAGTGCGACGCGTATATAGTTTAAACGCACGTTTTAAGTTTAACAGCGAGTTCGATTGCGAGTGTTTACAAAAAACATATGATAGTGAGTAACGCGACCGGCACCAATTATAGCGGCGTTGCCAACTCGTCACCGCCACGCGTTGCCAAGTCGCGGTTGCATGTGGAACTTGTATACATTGCGGAATTTTGACAGCTTCCTTCATGTAAATATTTTAAAATAAAACTTGGAAAATAACTAAATGAAAGAATTTAATTATAGTGTCGATAAGAGTAAATAAATAAGGAAATATTTTTTTTTATACAACAACATAGTTGTTCGAAATGACGACGTATTCGTTAGATGCCGAAACTTTTATAAATGAAATAAAGAAACATCGAGAACTTTGGGACTTGAGCAGTGATGGCAACAGATACAAGAGTATCGTGAAGCAATGCGCATGGAGCAAAGTAGCGCGGGTGTTCATACCTGATTTTGACAATATGAAAGATTTGGAAAAACTAGATGTGTGTAAGTTTTTATTTGACTTGAAAGTTAAATTAGACTATATGAGCTAGTATAAAACTTGTATCAAAATACAGTTTTCTAAATTATTTAACAATGTCGGTGTAAATACATTTATTAATATTGCAAGAAATTCAAGAAACGGTTACGTCGTAAAATTATTATGAGTAATATAAACGTGTTTCACATTATACGGCGGTATTTTATGTATGTTCCACTACTACGAGAAAGGCGAAGCACGTGCGAAATGGGACATTTCGAAATAGTTTATACCGTCATCTCTACAATAGAATAATAATTTTTTTTCTTATAAAAAAATGAAACATAAACACGTAAAAATCCCCAATTCTGAATTTGTGCCCGTAAAAAATATATTTTCTGTTTATACAAAACGACTAAACAGGTGTTAAAGAAATTCACTGACGGATAGACGATTTAGGTGAACACGATAAAGGTTAGATACGATAAGAAATGTCAAATATGGGGCGAATAGCTAGATAATATGTATCATATATTATTAGAATGTTTGTAAAAACCAAGACTTTATCCACTTTATGAACAGGCAAGATTAAGGCATTTCTACTTAAGTACTAATTAGATTTAACAATAATATGTTACTATTGTTACAGTTCGCAAGCTACACGGTAAATGGCGCAATATTCGTGACGCATACGTCAGGAACCTAAAGCGTAAGGACGGCAAGCGAGAGTACATGTACGCAAAACATCTCACATTTCTAAACAGCAGGTACGCCGGCACCCAAACACACGGGAACAGCGACGATGACTCCTCAGACGAAGACAAGACGACTGACAGTACCAAGTCTAAAAACATTGATTTAATTCCATCTCAAAGTGATGAAGAACCATCTACTATAGTCAATCTTAAAAGGCAGAGAGTGGAAAAAACAATGAATATAGAATTCGTAGACACTCCTAGCGTTTTATCAAGTGTTGATTTTAATCATTATGGGGAAGACGAAGATAGGTCCTTCTTCGACTCTTTATTGCCAGCTGTGAGAGAGTTTGATCTAGACCAAAAGTTAGAATTCCGATGTGAAGTAATAAAATTAATTAAATATATACGCTCGGGGAGGAGTAGACTGAAGACCGAACGACAAACTGATGGCTATGATTCATAGAATAATGCAATAGGAAATATGTTAATTGCCTGTGATTTATTTTTATTAAGTTAATAAAGCAATTTTATTGTTATTTTATCTACAAGTATATATTTTCTAAGGAAAAAATATTATTTTTATTAAAAAAATGAATGTTAATTAAGGTAAAACCTTAATGTAATAATCTATTTTTTTTTTAAACTAACAAACGGAAAAATGAATGTTCATTTCTATTCCTTGGATGGAATTTGCATTTTGAAAGTTTAAAACATTTACCATAAATGCGCGCGCTACTTAATTACAATGATTAATGTAGCGTTTTAAATCCCACCAACTGCTCTATCATGGTCTTTTCTCACGCTGTCTTTAAACTTTTTGTTCTGTTTTTTAATTATTTCTTAAATAAAATCGTTTTAACTGTTAATACATCTCACGAGTCACGATATATTTATGTACTGAGTATGAAACATTTGCTACAAGCTCACTTTAAAGTTACAATATGTCTTATCTTTTATTAAAATTTATGAGTAATTCTTATAATATATATAAATTATAAATTTATTTCGTGTATCTCGGAAAGCCCTAACGATTTGGATCAAATTTTGTATATAGATAAATTTAGTTTTTTATGTTTATCTTTGTATACAGTATACATATATACAATCTTTTATGAAAAAGCGCAGTTTTTATATTTTATCCGAAAAAACGCCCAGATACATTAATTATAAACATATCTTTAAATTTAATCTCCAAAAATATAAAAATTAAATATTTATTTCAAAAATACGAATACCTAAAAGTATCGACTTTAGTCAACACTTCAAATCAAAAAAAAAAAGAAAGCCCATAGTAAGTATTCCTCATTCCTCATAGACACAGACAGCAACAAGTCATAACAACACGAACGATCAGTCTGCGCGGCGCGGCAACGTCGCGGGGAAAGTGGTGCGAGCGGAGCGGCAACGTCGCACGGTCGATACGCCCGAGCTGACCCGACGGCCGACTCGTTGCGACTTGATTTTCATACGTTATAAGTATAATAGATAGGTACCTACAATGAACACGTGTCTTTTGTTTATTGATACCACTCCAGCCGGAGTTATGCAATGTTTTAATTCTGTTCAATACATTTACGTATTTCATATCTTATTATATTATAAAGAGGTGAAATTGTTTGTTTGTATGTATGTATGTATATAGGGAATAATCTATATAACGACGTACCACGCAAGTGGAGTCGCAGTCGAAAACTATTAATACTTCTAAATTATATTTTTAATTTAAAGATGCTGGAACCTAATGTTAAATAATAAATATGTTGGGACATTCACACACAGCACCATCTAGTTCCATGGTAAGCTACGTGGCTTGTGTTATGGATACCAGATAGTTGATACCACTACACATTTATAACTTTAAATACATACATATTATAAATGTAAACACCCATGACTGGAGTACAAACATTCGTGCTCGTCACACAAATGAATGCCCCCAGCGGACTCGATCCCGCGACCACTGGCACAGCAAGTAGGGTCACTACAAACTGAGCCAAACGAGTCAACGTTGATGTAGATGTTTATTTATATACTGGTATATAAGCGGTAGGTGTCTGGATCGTAGTTCGTTCGCACTCCCATTTCATTTCCCGTCCCTCGTGAGATACGTAAAGTGGGATAATAAATGTATATTATACAAGTGCTAGATATTTGCGCACTAAGGTACAATATTAGCAATCTATTTCAAATGTATGTACATTTTAATACCGATTTTTTTATAGATGTTACGTAAAAATCTTCCTTCGCTTACGTTTTATATTTAAAAAGTAAATGGAGCAGTCACTACGTGCAACTATGGCTCGGCGTTATACTTTCTTCGATTTAAATATTTGACATTTTAAATAAAACTCTTTTCGGATTTACATCTAAAACCTTAGTCTCATTCGTGACCATAATTACTGTAAAGTACTCGAAACGTTAGGAACCAAAAACCAAAATAGATCTGCGAAAAAATCTGAAAAGATGGTTTTAATTAAAATTGCAAAAGTAGCAATTTTTGATTATTACCAAGCTAGGTGGTCAATCTATGCTAATATTATAAAGAGGTAAAGTTTGTGAATTGTGAGTTTGTGATGTTGTAGGGGGTAATCTCTGGATCTACTGAACCGATTTAGATGAAATTTGGTAAGAAGTTAGTTGGAGACCCTGGGAAGGACATAGGATAATTTTTCCCGGAAATCATCAGTTAAGGGGGTGAAAATGGGGATGAAAGTTTGCATAGGGAATCAAAAGCTTATAAATTAATATTTTCGAAGTTCAAAGTAATGACTTAGTTATAATACGATTAACAAAATTTTCAACGTGCGAGACGTAAATGTACTGCGTAGAACAGTAGTTGTTTGCATGTATTGAATCGAAAGTCTGTCTGCCAGCAACCCTGAGTAAACCAGTTCTCTGCCGTGGGACTTACCTTCGATGCCGTTCGGTTTATAGTTTATACATATTAAACTAGCATGCTAATTGCAAACATTGAGAAATAATGCTCGATTACCATAAAATTGATCAAAAAGTTACGATTTCATTTAGAAATCTCCTTTATCTATAACTTTATTCATTTTCAACTATCCAACAGATCTAATAATAGAATTTAACGCAACGCTTTATCAATACTCTGCTACAACGGAGATATTGCATGTCGTCTTCAAAATTACTTCAGACTAGCATAGAACCCGTGACCTCTCGCTTAGGGTGATAGACAACTTTTCAAAGATCCTTACTAAAATTTAAATATGTATAGAAAATATAATAACTGAGTATGACATTACATATAATCAAGCTCCTATATGCTCATTACACGTACTGGTAGTAGAAAATCTAGTTATAACTTTGTTGCAAGCTAAACCACAACGCGTCTAGTTACTAATTACATTTAATAATTATAGCTGCAAATGGTCTTTCATATATAAATTTATAAAATTTAAACTTTGAAATAATCCCAATATAGTGTTAGAATGCAGACGTACAAGTGCTAATGTTAATAAATAACTAGGGTTCGCCGAGCGGCGGTCTAAATTCATCCACAATTATTGAACATTTATAAATATATATTATAATACTGAACTGTTTTGTCTTTATCTGTAAATATATATATATATATATATATATATATATATATATATATATATTATTGATGACATGAAAGCTCATCAATAACTGCTAGACAAAAAAAATCGGTTGACGAACAGAAGAGAAAAAGGTACTAAAGTGTTTAGTCTTTGACAGTTTATACATATATAATAATAACTAGCATTGCCCGCGGCTCCGCCCACGTTCAGATGGCAAAAAACCGAATTCTTAGGTTTTACATATTAGTATACTCTTACAATGCAGTTTTGTATGGGACATTGTCTCGCGGTAAAAAGTATCCTATATGTTGACCCGGATAACCAGCTATCACCATACCAAATTTCATCAAAATCCCTCCAGTGGTTTTTCTGTGATTCGGTAACAGACAGACAGACAAAAATTCTAAAAACTATAGATTCGGCCTCTGTATCGATAATAATGTCTATTTCAATAAGATTTTCAAAAAAATATCTAATGTACAGATTCGGCTAGTTACAATTTTATTATACGAGTACGTATAGATTTTTATAGATTAGAGGACGAAATATTAGGTAAATAACATAACTCAATAACTAATAGTCTTAACCTTTAACTTATGCAAAATACATAACTATTCATAATTTAACTGTAAATTATGAATGGTTAAGTTATTATATATAATAATAAAATCGAAGTATCTGTCTGTGATTTCAAAACAGTTATTCTATTTTTAGCTTCTAGTAAAGTTTATTCAGGGCTGCTGATATTACTTCTACATACGTACGTATGGTACAAACTTTTCAATTTTTTATATATGTGTCAAAGTGCCAATATTTATATAGCAAACTAAAAAAAAATACAAAAAAAAAATAGAAATATTTACCATAAAATAATAACACGAACTAACAACGTCTTGAAAAAAATATTATAACTTTGAATGAGCAAAATATTGAATTTAGGTAACATTGAACATTCTCATAGAACGGGTATATTCAAAGCCATAAAACGCGTATTAAATCATAGGACCAATAATGTCAGCGGTACTTCGTGACCATATTCACCTCAGTGGCATTTCAAATTACATACTACAGCTATAACACAGTTGTTAATGGCGGGCTACAACGCGAAGGTCTTTCTTTTAATTAATGACGTGGATTTCTTACTCTGTGTTAATTTTGGTTACTGGTTACTTACAAAACCAAATTCTTAGGTTTTATATATTAGTATACTCTTACAATGAAGTTTTTGTATTTTTTCTTAGAAATGAGATATTTTCCCGCGGTAAAAAGTATCCTATATGTTGACCCGGATAACCAGCTATCATCATACCAAATTATACCAAAATCCGTCCAGTGGTTTTTCCGTGATGCGGTAACAGACAGACAGACAAAAATTCTAAAAACTATATATTCGGCCTCTGTATCTATAATAATGTCTATTTCAATAAGATTTTCCATAAAATATTTAATGTACAGATGCGGCTTAGTTGCAATTTTATTATATGTATAGATTACTGGTTACTTATATTATAGTACGAAGATAGTCTGACTAATATTGTAAATAACAAAGTTAGCTTCATGATCTAGCGACAAGAATCACGTTTTTTGCTTGGAGATAAAATATACTTTAAAGTGACATAGGATAGTTTTTGTATAGGACATAATATTATAATAAAATTCTGAGTCGAATTGTCTGTACATTAAACATTTTGTGGAATTTTCATTGATATAGTCATTATTATTGATACAGAGGCCAGATCGATAGTAATAAATAATAATTGCAGTACAACATACTACGTTTCATACAAAAGTTAATTATGGCCTCCGTGTGGCGTGCCCGAGAGAAGCGGGGGCGGTTCACTAGTTCATTATAAATAGTTACAACTTTTATCTCGTAAGTCTTTACTTGGAAGTG